AGCATTAGCCCTTCATAGCTTAACAATCTATGCCTGCAAAGAAAGGGGGAATGGATAATGATAAAGACTACAGAGAATAGTTTTTTTTTTTTAAATTATGGGTCCCTTGCACCTCTTTGAACACCTTGCAGGTATTGGAACACAGATCTACCAGCTATGAAACCTGCCCTTTGCATTAGTTCATCAACATGCAAGTGATTGGTTGAGAGGGGTTCATATTTATACATGTATTTCATATCAGGATAAGATGGGAATTTCAGAGTTTGTTTCTGTGGTGGTGCACAAAGACCTCTGACAAAGAAGTACAGTGGTACCTCGGGTTACAGACACTTCAGGTTACAGACGCTTCAGGTTACAGACGCTTCAGGTTACAGACTGCTAACCCAGAAATAGTACCTTGGGTTAAAAAATTTGCTTCAGGATGAGAACAGAAATCGCGTAGCGATGGCGCGACGGCAGCAGGAGGCCCCATTAGCTAAAGTGGTGTCTCAGGTTAAGAACAGTTTCAGGTTAAGAACGGACCTCCAGAATGAATTAAGTTCTTAACCCGATGTACCACTGTATAGACTTGGGTAGTTGAAAATCCCACAAAACACAGCTTTCCCCTTTTTTGCATGTGAAATTTTTGTATATTTGTTTCAGGCCTTCCAAGGTCTGCTGTTGTCTTTAGGATAGGCAGCCAATGTGGTGCTTTCCAGATATTGTTGGATTCCAGCTACCATCATCCCCAGCCAGTATGGAATAATGAGAGTTGTAGTCTGGCAACATCTTGTGGGCAGAGGGTTGGCTGCCTTAGGAGATATGAAGACCTCATTGTTTCTAATACTGTAACAGGTAAAAAAAGAATCTCATTCCACAGTCAACCAACCCAATTTACCTGTGTATTCAGGGATCTTTTGGGGAAACAAATTTACCATCCAAATTGTTTGTGTGGTTGTTGTTTAGTCGTTTAGTCGTGTCTGACTCTTCGTGACCCCATGGACCAGAGCACGCCAGGCACTCCTGTCTTCCACTGCCTCCCGCAGTTTGGTCAGACTCATGTTTGTAGCTTCGAGAACACTGTCGAACCATCTCGTCCTCTGTCGTCCCCTTCTCCTTGTGCCCTCCATCTTTCCGAACATCAGCGTCTTTTCCAGGGAGTTTGTGTGGTACTGGGAGACAATTATGACTTCCACGTGCTAGTGGATGGGGGGGGTCAGCAAACTTTTTCAGCAGGGGTCTGATCCACTGTCCCTCAGACCTTATGGGAGGCCAGACTATATTTTGAAAAGAAAAGAAAAAGAACGAATTCCTATGCCCCACAAATAACCCAGAGATGCATTTTAAATAAAAGCACACATTCTACTCATGTAAAAACACGCTGATTCCCAGACCGTCCGAGGGCCGGATTTAGAAGGCGATTGGGACGGATCCAGCCCTCGGGCCTTAGTTTGCCTACCCATGTAGTGAATCATGCTGGGATAATAATGGGGTCATTGTGTCCAGAATTCACATGAAAAATAAAGTTTTGGCAAATAGTAAAATAAAAAATAAAAAATTATTTGGCCTTTACTTAATCTGAGCTTATACAGTAGTTCAGTTTCTCTGCTGTGGTCAATGACCATGCTAGAGTTCTTATTCAATCTGGAGATGGGGCATGAGCATTTTTTGAGGGAGAGCCAGCATTCAAGGGCAGAACTGTTTTGCGAAGTTTGGCCTGATAAAATGAAGGGACAGCATCTTACGTTGAAGTCAACTAACAACATTTGGCACTCAGTTCATTGCTCAGGGTCATTATGGAAAGGTGGTGCTCTGGAACACAGCGTTCTGACTTTCTACTTTGGGTATCTATGACAGGCTCTCAATTTCATAAACGGAAAGTGCAAAACTAAAAAGACTTTCTTATTCCAGCTGGCATGTTAATGTAGCCCTTGGTGTTATGTGCCATTGTTTTTGTGCCCCATGTTCTGGGAGTTGCTTTTATGTACGCTGCTTAGAAATGAAAACAATTAAATGGTATAGAAATGTCAAATAAATAAATAAAATGGTGGGATCACATCTTTAACCAGAGATATCTAACTCCAGAGCCCATGGATGCCTTCCTTCTCTCACCACAGGGCACACTGCCTTACACTCTTCTGCAATTTGTTCCACTTTACTGGAGCTGCTCTTTTCGTTCTCTTTTGTATTCATGTACCCCAGAGGGCTATTGCAGTGTATCATTAAAATTCTTATTGTGGACGGCCTGTAACAATCGGATTTGTTTGCTGCAGGGACTTCTTTACGTCCATTGAGGCAAAAGGTTCCCAGTCATGCTGCTTCTGTAAGTTCAGTGTAACTGAGGGAGAAGGAGTATAGTGCAGTTTTGGAAGGGGATAGAGAGGGATAGATAAATAATGTGTGCTTTTCCATTCTGCCTTATCTAAATGGCAGCTTCTCCCTGAGATGAGGATGGTTGGTAGACTTCCCCAATCTACCACCCTGCCGCATGGAACACATCTACTCTCAAGGCTGGATTGACTCAATCTGTTACTTGTTTGCTATGGGTAGGTGTGACATTAATCTCTCCATGCATTGAAAGAACTACCTTTTCCTCATCACAGTCCAAATAAAAATAATCTCTTATCCAACAAAGCTGGCATTAACCCCAGAAGGGAAGCTTCTGTTGGTGCCAGGCATTTACATATTATTGATGCCAATGAAATCCAGGGACTTTTTAAATGCATAACCATTTACTTATTATAATCAATTATCTGTGGAAAGAGTTTGAATATAGGTTTTTCTTTTTCCTTTTAATTGTAGAAAGCTCTGCTAAAAATCCATTGCAACACTGCAAGCCCATAGCTTGAATAATAACACGCCTAACATACTTTTACAAGTTTCCAGTGGCAGTTGACGAATCCCCAGTTAATGCATATGCACTACATAAATTTGCTCATGGACTCAATGGTGCAGAAAATAGCTGCCCAAATTCTCAATTGCATTCAAATGCTATGGCATCTTCATCATATTTTGACATATCTCAAAATATTACAGGATGCCGTTTAAATGTTAATTGTAAGAAAATGCCATCATTCCAATCAACTGGCATTATTCTGAACTAATGTATCAAGTTATAAGCCATAAATTTCTTTAACTACCAAGCAGCTTTATGTGGGTTGAATTAAGAAAATTTTGGGATGGCCCAATTCCCTTGTGAGCTTCAAAGGTCAAAAAGTTGATCATCTAGCTTTTTGCAAAGGGCATGCTCAGAAGGCACATGATGGAACAATCTTGCTCAAGCTAAGCAGGCCTGGGTGTGGTCCATGTCAGGATGAGAGATCAACAATGAGTAAACAAACAAACCCCTGTGTTGCAAAAAATGTGGCAGATGTGCATCCTGCCCATTTTCTTTATAGATTAAAGAAATTGGTTGATGAAGAACTGAACAAAACAGTAGTTGCTATCTGGAAACACTGTTCAGCAGAGTTGAGAGTTGGATATCAGAATTGGACATTTGCAGATGATACAAAGCTTTACAAGCTTGATTTCCACCGGATAATGTCTGGTACAGTGACTTATTCAAGGACTTTCAGAGACTTTAGTTTGATCGTTTTGATGTTTTGCATTATTCCATAAAGTTTTCTATACTGTAATTGTTTCTGGCCATCGGGTTGCTTTCGATATTGCTGGATAAGAGATCCATCAAAAACTCTTATAGATGCTGTGTTACATCATGGAGGAAAGGTGGGGTGGAAATGTATTGATAAATTAAAAAGTCTGCTACATGCTGTACTGTTTCACTAAGATACAGTACAATAACTTTCAAATGTCAGTACCCACTTCAAATTCACCTCTCTTCTTTATGAAAATGCTCTCAGCTCACTAGGTTCAGTGCTTTGTTAAATAAATAAAAATGTTTAGGGGTATCCGTACCCCTGCGTACCCCCAGAAAAAAAGCACTGACTAGGGTCAAGGTGTTCAGCCTTGCATGTGCCTGTAAGTTCCCAGCCACTAAACAATACCATCCACATGTGGTATCAGGAAACCACAGCACAATCTAAACTTCAACTATGACACAATCCGAAGTGCAGATAAAAATTTTCAGATTTCTTGGGTATTTAAAATTGAAAATGGTGATACTATGTTGTAGCCTTTTGGACACATTTTTATTCCTTGGCATTCTCTTTCTCTTAGCTGTATCTGTATCTTTTTAGGGGTTTGGGGCTTCTTTGGCACAAAGGTGATTGTTCAATATTTAAAACAAATGTACAGTCTATATCTAAATTCCTTGGCGGTGCCACCCATGTGAAAGGTGTGTTTTTATATTGTGATCTTATCCTGTGAACAGCCCTGAGGGTGGTATACAAATTTAATAAATAATAATAATAATATATGCGATAACTGAAGCAAGGATATTGTTAGCAAGAAGAAATGCCAGCTAAGGAAGAGTGGCAAGAGAAATTGATGAACTATGCTGAGATGGCGAGATTAACCGTGAAAATTCAGAACCAGCAGGACCAGACTTTCCTAAAGGAATGGAAGAAGCTTTCAACATATTTTGAAAGTAACTGTAAACAATTGACATCATTTGTAGGGTTAAAAGAAGTTTTGTAAGGAGTAATATATAAATTATTGTGAAAAGAATTAAGAATGGGTATTAAGATTTGAATTTATAGCAATAACTGTAGTAACAAAATGCATAATTAGAAAGGATTTTAGAAAATCATCAGTTGAGGTTGAAGGAAGTCTTAGGCTGTGATAGCCAAAGATTTTGAAATGATATTTAAAAGGATGATATGCTGGAAAATATGTGTAAAAACCAATATAATAATAATAATAATAATAATAATAATAATAATAATAATAGGTAAAGCTTTTGTTTAAGCAAGACAAATGCTCCCTACCACTGCTCTCTGGTCACCTGGTAATTGTAAACATGATTTGGTAATTTTGACTGTCAATGTAGAATCATAGAGCTGTAGAGCTGGAAGGGACCATGAGAGTCAATTAGTCCAGTGCTCTGCAAGGCAGGAATCTTTTGCCCAACATGGGGCTCGAACCCATGAACCTAAGAGTCTCATACCTTACCAACTGAGCTACCCATCAAACTAAGAAAGGCTGCTTCTTGGAAATCGGAGGAGGAAACGTTTATGTGCTCCTAATTTGGGGGGAAACCATCTCTTATATTAATAGGGCCAGCATGGGCAATGAAGAAGCCTAATCAAATAATATGAACAAAATCTGCAAAGTAAAAAATAAAAAATGACACAACTATATTTTTCTTAAGCCAAAGAACCATTACAGTGTTTCTCCTAAAACCACAATACTGTGTTTCAGTAATGCTTACAGCTCCAGAAGAAATTAATAGACTGGAAGATTTAAGAGAAAGTTGAGTGAAAGACTATAAACATTTCATTACCAAAAAAAAAATATGGTCCTGGTTTTTCAAAAGGGCAGCTGTCGGTAGACAAATACTCATGTGAACCTGAAACTCTGCAGCTCATTTTTGCGTGCAGTAAAGATTAACTGAATAAATTGACTGGGCAGTAAATAACCCAAAGGTATGCTGTTTGCACATGCAGTAAGTCTGGCTGTATATCATACTTAAACCTAGAGCTATGCTTATAACTAGAGGAAGCAGACACTTCCATCAAATGTTCTTTAAGCTTAGAAGAATTTATAAAATGTCCTCAAAGTTCAATAGGGAGAGCTGCTGCACCAGATACCATAATGGCCGCTTGTCCCTTTTCTGCAGTGAGCAGTGGTTGCGGCCCACCTTTAGTCTATTTTCTGTCCAGGGGAGTTAGAGTGGTGACCCACTCCCCTACCAGCAGCAGCGTTTACAGGGTACCCGTTAAAGGGGTTGTGAGGGGAAGTCTCTGTCTGTAGAGTCAGAAGTGCTTGGCCAGTGGGCCAGTGTTTGGGTCAGCCCACCTGCGTAAACATGTGTTTTGCGATGGACCCTTCCTTCCAACCAATCCTGTCATGCCTCAGTTCCCCACCAGAGGGCTGAGAGGGATACACACCCAATGCCTATGCCAAGATTTATCTGTACAGTGGTACTTCTGGTTGTGAACGGGATCCGTTCCAGAGGCCCGTTCACAACCTGAAAAGAACGCAACCCACGACTGCACATGAGCAGGTCGCGATTCGCCGCTTCTGTGTATGCACGTGGCGTCATTTTGCACGTCTGCGCATGCGTGAGTGGCGAAACCCAGAAGTAACTGTTTCCGGTACTTCCGGGTCGCTGCGGGATGCAACCTGAAAACGCACAACCTGAAGCAAACGTAACATGAGGTATGACTGTATCTGAAAATCAACGAAGTTGTGGCCTTTTTAATCCCATTACAGCTGTTGTCCCCATTCACTATTCCCTTTAGTCAGCTAGGCTCCTGGGACAGGGACTCTGCGGCTGGTCACACAACTTAAAATGTTGTGTCTCTGCACGTTCAGCCATTCCTATGGAGGAGCCATTCCTCTGTGACGCCTGTGCTTTTTAACTAATTCATAAATGATCTAGAGTTAGGGGTGAGCAGTGACCTGGCTATGTTTGCTGATGATACCACATTGTTCCAGTTGGTTAAAACAGAAACGTATTGTGTGGAGGTCCAAAGGGAACTCACCCAGCTGGATGAATGGACAAGAAAATGGCAAATGCAGTTCAGTGCAAGTAAGGGTAAATTTCACCAAAAAGCCAATGGTAATGACCGACCATGAATGAAACCTCGCAGGGACAGTGGATACTACCATGTTAACCCAGTGAACAGCAGCTGTGCAAAAGGTGAATTCCATTTTAGGGATCATTAGGAAAAGGATTGAAAATAAAGCTGCTAAAGCCATAATGCCATTGTACCAGGCATGGGGAACACCTGGCACGTGGGCCTGATGATGCTGATGTATCATATCTTAACCACCCTTCACCATAAAGTCTCAGGGTAGGGTACAGAAATTTAATAATAATAATACATTACAGTTGCAAGAATAGGCGGGTCCTAAAATATCTACATCCTCGGGTGTCAAACACCACTCTGAAGCAGTTAATTTCACTCTCACTATGTGCCAGTGAAGAAGGCCATGTGGTTGAAATGCCTTTGGCAACTGAAAGTGTTGTTTATCTGTAACAGGCTGTTTAGTCATTTTTTTGTTCTGTCTTTCAACATGCATTGTATTTTGTTACTGCATTTAGAACCATTTTGTGTCGCTATTTGGCAACTGCATGTGTTGTTCCTCTACACTAGCCTCTTAAGCTGCATCTCCTTATATATTTAAAAGCATATTGTATTTTATCATTGCATCTAGCATTCCTCATATTGTTGTTTTTTTTTGGGGGGGGTTGTGTGTGAATAAATAATATACAAAGTCGATCTTACAGTTGGGTGGTTCTCTCTTTTTTGAAGAACATTCTCTCCTCAACCCCCTCAGGCAGGAGATGTAAGAGAGTTAAATTTAACAGAATTTTGTTTCTTGTGACAGTAAATGAAGCAGACTGTCAGAAGAGCTGTAGCTCAGTGGTAGAGCATCAGTCTTGAAAGCATAAGGTTCCAAGTTCAGTCCCTGGCATCTCTGGATAGGACTGAGAGAGATCCCTGCCTTAAATCTTGGAGAGCTGTTGCCAATCAGTGTAGGCAGTACTGAGCTAGATGGAACAATGGTCTGACTGTATTCCTATTTGGCAGCATTTTGTGAACTGCACATAACTTAATGTTCTCGCGCTTAGAAGACATTCAAGGTAAAGGCCTCTGTACAAACTTTCTTCTAAGCTAGCTTGTCGCTTGAGACCTCTTCAGCTTCCTTTTCATGCTTCATTACAAAGGCTGCCAAGTATCCTTCTAAGCCAATGTTCATTCAGTTGTTAAGGAGTTACTTCTCATGTAATTTAAACCACCAGGCACCGTAAAATAAAAAATGCATTCTGAAATGTTTTTCCCTTCCCTTTTTGAAGGCATGGATGGGAATTTATGTTGCCTGAATATCACCTCAAAAACATTTCTCATCCCTCTGAGAGTATGTGAAGTTGTTGTGTATGTTTTTTAAAAATGAACCTATCATCCTAAAAAAAAAAAATCCACAAGAAAGGTAAAGAATTTTACCTGGAGACTCTGAATGAACAAGCATGCTCAAATTGCCTGGAGGGGAGTAGGAAGGGTTGGCCCCATATTTGTATTTTTAAAGATATGGTTCAGTTTAAACGAATTTGGCAGGTCTGCTGTTCAGTAGTGCTATTAGATTTTATATCTGTGCCAATATAACATCTCATGCCACAGGGACTGGTTAATCTTTAGTAGGGTTCAACATGGGATCACAATGGAAAATTTCTCTGTATCTATTGACTGCTGGATTTTGCATGTTCTTCAAAAGCATGTTTTGCCGCTAACTGTTGTAAACAAGTAAAGAAAAAAGATCTGTTTAGTCCTTCCACAGCTATCACAGTTCTTCACAACATTTCTGTATTGACTGAAAGATAATACTTTCATTACTTCAGAAACTCACTGAAGAGATGTATGGAACCAAGAACTGCCAAACAACAAGATCAAAGAGAAGCAATTCTGGTGTGACATCCATAACACCAGAAGACGGTTCATTTTCTGTCTCATTCAACCTTTCCCCTCACATGCAACATGTAGGTTCCACACACACTGTAAATTGAAAATTTCTAGTGATTAAAAGAGAGTTAATAGCCAGGGGCTATTAACTTGCTCACTCACCACCCCAACTGCACTGCCCTGATCAGGCATTTATCATTTCTTGATACAGCAGCAATACATGTAATAGGACTTTGCCTTGAAACACGGGAAATAAAATTAGTATATCTATGCTAGATTCCCCCAACAGGCTGCCCTACAGATATTTTAGAATGTTGTGCTCACTGGGGTTGATGGGAGTTGTAATCCAAAACTTGTGGAGGGACTAGTTTGGGGATGACTGCTCTGTGCTAGTTTTGTTGGAAGAATGAACTGAAAACAGACTACTAAGCAGATTTCCTTGCATCTGCTCATTTGATGCCGTTATGGCACAGACTCTTGTTATCAATGATATTGGCTTCATTCTCTACAAAAAAACCACATTTGAACATTACACATAAATATAAATTGCTGTACAATGTTCATTATTTACATATTCACTGGTGCTTAATAGCTGTCCCATTAGGTACCATATTGGTTTTTCCTTTTTTCCCTACCGTTGTTTGTTGACGTTGGGTATATTGTTCATTGCTGGAGGCAGCCTATATGCAGTAAGGTTGCAATCCTAACTATGTATACTCAAAAATAATTCCTGCTGAATTCAATGAAGCAACACTGTTCCATCAGTCATTGAATTTGTAGAATCGCAGAATTGTAGAATTGAAGGGGTCCCAAGGGCTATCTAGTTCAACCCTCTGCAATGCAGGAAGGGATATGGAAATAAAAAGGAAGACCTCTTCAGATGTTCAGACACAAAGCACGAACGCTCAAGCTGGGGCCAGGAGGAGTGTGCATCCCCCCCCCCATATACTGGGCATGCGCACACTGTTGAGTGGGAAGGATTGAAGGAACATTCTAAGCACATTCCCAATTGTGGGAAGGTTTCCTAGCACATTCAGCCAAGCATACGCAGACTCCCAGTTTTGAGACCTTCCAACTAAATGCATGGAAGTTGGGATGGAGCAGGTGCTTCCTCAGTTTGAGCACCTGAAGCGGGCTAAAATCATGCACAAATCAGTATAAATTGGTTTACTTCTTACAGAACAAATGTGACATAATATAGCCAAGTTAAGCATCGTGTTGATTAAAATAGATGCAGGATATGGTTATCTCTCTCTCTCTCATGGAAATCAATGGTGTGACTTGATTTCCCCCGCAGGCGCTGACACTGTATGGTTTTGCCATTTATACGTGACGAGGTACATAGTAGAGGTGTGCACTGACCAAAAGAGAAAGATTTGGTCTGAATTCTGAATCAGAAAAACAACGCTCTCTCCTCCTGCATCCCCACCCCTACAAAGTATTAGGGGGAAATTAAAAAATGGCCAGAACTGGATGAAATTTGCAGGCACAGTACCCTTCCTGACCGAATAACTTCTGCCAAATGCCAGGTTCCAGGGTTTTTTGTGCCAGTTGTCCTTAAGGTTGGTGCTTGAGTGGAGGTCTTGCAGGAATTGACTTCATTTCTATGGTTTTGAGGACACTTGTTTTATTGTGAAAATGGCATACACTGCAGAGCTGCTCTTAGGAAAGTAACCTAAAAAATATCAGATGGAGCTAGGGAGTTATGATGAATGAAAAAACAGCACCAGGCTTGTGTTCTACTCAACCGATGCCAAAAGTTGCATAAGCGAAGTGCAAAACTGATTTGACAGAAGCGTGTGGGCTCATGCCGTAGAGGCAGAAGCACTTGAGAATGTCCTCCATTTTACAAGCCAGCCCCACTAGGCAGAATTATCAAAGAGTGCAGAACAGACATGGTGATGCTTTACTTCAGTACATGGTTTCAGCTGAACTTGCTCAAGTGAGGAAAAATAATATATTGTGGCTACACAGTTGTATTGAAGGAACCGGTTCAAATAAATCCACTTAAAATTTAGGATATAAGTAGAGAAGACAACTCAGTAGGACCCACACCCAGCTTTCATACTTAGCTTTTAGCGATATGCACAACTTGACAAATGATCTTATGTGACCCTTTCATAAACATAAATGAAAACTAGGTCTCAACTACCTTATAAATAATGAAAGCGTACCTCTTGATTAGATGAATCTGCTGAAAGGAAGGAAGGAAGATGTACTTACCTTGAAGTGTCAAGTTGTCTAAAACTGGCATAGGAAAACTCAGCCCTCCAGATGTTTTGAGACTACGATTCCCATCATCCCTGACCACTGGTCCTGTTAGCTAGGGGTGATGGGAGTTGTAGTCCCAAAACATCTGGAGGGCTGAGTTTGCCTATTCCTGGTCTAAAAGAATAAAATAGTGTAAGACTCATATATGAAATGTGGCTATCCATGCCTTATGACAATGTAATTAAGACCAGAGCTCAGCAGTATAGCACATGCTTTGCATTCAGAAGATTTCAATCATCTACAGCTAAAATGAACTCCAGTAGAAAGTGGGTGATTGGGAAACACTTCTTCCTGTAGAGCCACTGCCAATCAGAGATCAGTGGATAAATAGTCTGACCTGCTATAAGCCAGTTTACTATTTTCAAGGGGTTGCTAGTCAGTCTGAAAATCAGGGTGTGAAATCTAAGCTAGTGGTTAAAGCAGAACCAGTGACGAGGTCGACAGGTCTGAAAATGTAACTAAAATGAATGAAATGGTTTATTAAAGCACAATGTTCAACACAGCAATAGCAGAGAAACAACATTGTAGGCCCAAAATGACTATACAAGGACAAAAGGGGGCAAAAATCCACCCAGGCAGTACAAATCTTGAGAAGCAAACACAAAGAAGCAAAGACAAAGAGCGAAAAAGCAAGAGAATAAAACTTTTTTTTTTTTTAAAGACACAAACATCCAGTAACTAATAAAAGCAAGATGAATAAGACCATATCCTGCACCAGAGGCATGCAGCACCACGCCACACCCTGATACTGAGCACACGCCACTGGAAGGGGCGGAGCCAAATGTCCCCTCAAAAAATACATTGGGGACCTGAAACAGCCTCAACCCCTAGGAGTTGGCACACCTGCCCTGCACTGCCTGGCCCTACACTGCACTTCCTTACATAAAGCTTCATCCAGGCTTAAAGCTGTGCATGGGGAAGATTCTTGTTCCAGTTGTGGCTGTGGAAGGGAAGTATAAGCCTTTCTTCCCTGCCCACTGGGGTCAGGGTCCCCACAGCTTTAATGGGTTAAAGGGAAAATGCTGCACATTCAGTGTAGGATGTAGCTTGACCCTACGTTTCCCAGCTGTTCTGACTGCATAGTCCTTTTAATTTTAATTTGCTTTGAGGGAAGACTTACATTCTGCTTTCCAAACAACATTGAGCTCCAAGCAACTCATGATAACAGCAATAAAAATTAACAAACATTACCATCACTACAATCACAACTACCTTCCAACAAATGCATGGGCATTCCTGCACTGTTGTTGAATCCAAGTAAATTATCAGTCTCTTGGACAATGTTTTAAAAATATGTGCAATTTTTATCCTTTAAAAATATTGGAGGAGTGGGTGATAGGTTATCAAATAATAGCAAAAGAACAGGTAGGCTTTTATAAGAGTAGAAGTACCATTGGCCAGTTCTTTGTTCTGGGTCATCTGATTTCAAAGTAAGTGCAAGAAAAATTACATTAAAAATAAAAGCTATGCAAAAAAAATGACAATAGCCTTTGGCATGGTGTTGGAGAATGGCTGTAGCTTATGCTCCTAAACAGTAATATAAAATAAACAGGCAGTTCTCCATCGATCATTGTTAATATCCTATACACAAATATTGACTTATGGATTTGAGTGACCAGCCATGGGTCAAAATGCTTGCAGAAGGTGGATTCACACAGAGATGCCATTTGGCTCATTTCCTATTTAACTTTTATGTGAAAAATATTTAAAAGAAAATCTGCAGGGCCTATAATATTTTCTGGTTACAATATC